AACACAACATAATGATGTTGAAAAGAAACGGTTTAAACTTTCTTACATAATCTGGGTTCCAGGCGTTATATGTTGGTCTCTTTTCAGCCGCGACTACAACGTATGCCACAAAAACCACCAGAAGCATCAAAGGGCTGATAAAGCGCCATGTGGCCTGCCAGTAGATGTTGGGCCTCCTACCTGTCATCCATTCAATGTCATCATTAAACCTGAGGGAAAAGGAGACCCTTAGTCAAATAACTGAACTATATTTTCATATTGCAAGTATAATAATGTCATGAATTACAACCTCACCTGTTTATTCCATAGATGTATACCACACTGATGATCTCAAAGAAGGCTATGATGAGCAGAGGCATGGATCCCACGTAGTTGTTGAAAATCCCCAGCCAGTAGTTTCCAGAGCCCAACGTGAAGACGAGAGCCACAGTAAAGGAGGTGAGGCAAATTAGCCCTTTTTAGACAAAAAAGACAATATAGGAAATTGATTAGGGCAAAATCATTATTCATGCTAATATTGATTAAAATGCAGTTTTTCGCCTCTCATATATGGAGATTTCCTGCCTTTCTTTGTTTTGCATCATATTAAACTCATTATTTTTGGTTTTGGACTGACAAAACAAGACATTTTAAGACATCACCTCAGACTTTGAGAAACGGGAATGGACATTGTTCACTGGTTTATGACATTTTATAGAACCATTGATTTATCTAGAAAATAATCAACAGATGAACTGTTAATGAAAATAATTCATTAGTTTTTGTAATTTTATAATACAAACTAGTGATGAGTCATATAAACTCCTCAGATATTTTGGTTTACCTGTCAACACTTCCTTAGGAATCCAGGCTGGAATAATGTTCAGGTCCAACAGAGGAGTAAGGATCCCCTCTAGATTCCCAAACATGGAGGACAGGCCCAGGCTGAAGAGCATGATGAAGAAGAGCACCGCCCACACCTGAGAGCCCAGCATATGTATCACCGCCTCAGTGAACACAATGAAGGCCAGTCCGGTTCCAGACGCACTCTACAGGTAGGATCTGAGACGTTATCTCTTACACAACAACCTCACAAAGCTTAATCAGAAAACGATTACAATTATTATCAAAGTAACAGATGCGTTGTACCTCATCCAGGAACGTCTGTAGGTTACACGTCTTTAGATTGAGGCTTTCGACCTCTGAGGGATCAGTATTGTTGAAATAGTTAAACCAGTCATCATAGTTTCCCAGAGTTATGTTCTCATCCCCAATGTTGAAGGAATTAGTCAATCTTAGTATGTTCCTAAAATCAAAGGAAATTAAATTAGTTAACACTACTAGTACAAGCATCACATCTTATAATGAAAACTAGTGGGGACATCTTTTCATTAATCAACTGTGAAAATAGATGTTTTTTTTGTACTGATTAATTGATAAATATTATAAGTAAAAACACAAACTTTTACAGCATAATTCCCTTTATGGTACATACCAATTTCTGCACTTATTTAAGTTTTCATTAGCTTTAAATCCAAGAATGGCAAAAATTGGAATGGATGCATATATTGACGTGAAAGTGTTCATAAATCCAACAATTAGGGCATCTCTCTCACAATTATTCCTGCAAAGATAAAGCAAAGTTTCAGTTTTATTTTATAGTATTTTTCTATTGTGTACATAATGCTGTAAAATGAAAAAGTGTTTATAAAGGTCTTACTTCTGAAGACTATAACTCGAAAAAGCAATAAGTCCTCCGAAGCCCAAACACATAGAGAAAAAGATCTGAGTACAAGCATCCAACCACACATCAGGATTCTTAAGAGTTTCCCACTGCAAAGAACATACTGATTAGACATCCATTTGTATTCATTACATTCAATCATTAATTCAAAATAAAGCTAATATCAAACTTACATCTGGAGTGAAGAGATATATTAAGCCATCTGTGGCCCCAGGCAGAGTCAGTGATTTGATCAAGAAGATGGTCAAAACCAGATATGGGAAGCTGACTGTGACATAAATAACCTGTTGAAACAGTTAAATGCTGATAAAATATTTCATATGAAAATCAAACGGAAATACAGATTTTTGTAACCTCATGTATCGAATGCACTCCTAATGTGTGCGGGGTTTTGTTAGTGTAAGAGCATTAAGGTAAGAGAGCACTTTTGTCACTTGTTCAGGTGATAAAAACAGTCTTCGGTCCATCACCTTTATAGCCTTTAATGCAGACTGTACCAGAGTGCATAATACATGTGAAATAAGATTACTGATGAGCTTGTTTTTGCTGAACTCATTTTACCCTCCTGTTGTTTGAGACGGAAGGTTTTTCTTGATGTTAAAGTTTGGTTTGAAACTTGCTTTGGTGAATTTGTGCCATTGATGAAAGTTGAGGCCAGAATTCACTTTGGAGGGATCATCAGTGCACTTCTCTATTCCAGCCTTTTTTTTATATTGCGTAGTCCATTTCATATTCATTTTATTTTTACATCATATATAGCTGTGTACAGAAAGCCAGTCTTACTTTAATAGTTACAATATGTTTGAATGAGTTCTTGGTATCTCGACTGTAAGATATAACAAATAGATATAACAATGAAAACGTTTTTTTGTAGTATTACTTAGAACAGGTCAAAATTACCTTTCCAATAGTCTCAATTCCCCGTATGAAGCAGATGTACACGAGGCACCAAGCAGTTGCGAGACACAGTACGAGCCACCACTGAAAGGAGCCGCTGGTCTCAATGTTTGGTGTGATGTTCAGCGTTTCACGATACCAAAAGTAGTTCACCGCCGAGGCCTTCTCACATTCACTTACATAGCCTGTATCAAAGAGATTGTTCATCATGAAATAATGTATTGGACTATTTGTCTTTTACTTCAATCAACCATTATCTTTAAATGATATTATTATGAAAAGATAAGATAAGTATATACCAGTATGATTCAAGTTTATTGGACAGTCCCTCCAAGGAAGTGGGCTTTGAAAGGAGTGGAATAAGTACCAGAGGATCCAGGCAATGATCATGTTGTAGAACAGGCTGACTAGGAAGGAGACTGCCAAGGAAGCAACACCTGTATATCCACATTTACACATTCACAAAGAAATGTATGAATGTTACGAAAGGCAGTGATTTCCAGATAATCATGCACACAACTTTATTTTGTAAAATGCATACAGTACATCCCCTTGTTTTGGCTTATTGCTTTCCTGAGTAAATGGTATTGATTGAACCTTCTCACCTAATCCTCCCATGTAAGGGGAGATTGAATTCCACACTCCAATACTTCCCATGCGGAGCCGTTGTCCGATGGCCAGCTCTATGTGCAGCAGAGGAAGTCCCGCAAACACCAAGCCAATGGCATAAGGAATCAGAAAAGCCCCTTTAAATCAAAGTCATAACAAATGCCTTAATGACTGATAAGGGACAATAACACAATACATATGAGATATTCAGTAATCAGTTGACTTCAAAATAAACATTGGCAATGCCTTTTATTTTTGAAGGTCATTCGGTTTATGATTACTGGACATTTTACTATCAAGAATCTGAGCTTTATCACACCCAGCAATAGCTCTCAACACCAGACATAAATGGGGCGAAGCCTGCGAGCTAGTTCAGGCAGTCAACTCGAGCACCAATGATACATTAACACGTGACGCACCTCGTCCCTCTTACAACCAACCAAACACATTCTCCTAAACATGCCGCTCTATTTAAGCTGCCAGGTCTTCCTGCCTCTGCCTCGCTATGCTGCTGCTGCACTGCTGTGTTCTTTTGCTATTGCTACGTTCATGTTCCTGCTGCTGTGTTTCATGTTGCTGCTGCTTGCCTGCCCCACCACCACCCCAGCTCCACCCCAGCTTCCACCTGTAGGCTCGGGGGATAGTTATCTAATCATCACTCAATGTTCTTTGTAAATCTGTGGAGTGATGAGGCCCGAGCCTAGACGCCAAACTCAAACTATATGCTGCTTATAATAAACATATTAAGAAACACGTGAGTTGTCTGACTGAACTGATTCCCCTAGTTAATCATTTATCAATCTTGATGATTCAAGTTTATCTTTGAAACTAGATTTCTTCAGAAACCTTAATTGTGTTCTGGAAAAACAAGATGACAACATGAAAATAGAAGCAAAGTAATATTTGCATAATTTCTGAAACCACATCTCATCAAAATAGAGAGTGAGATAGTTATGGTTGAATAAAATCTAAAGATAAAACTGTTTAAAAAAAAAATGTGACTATTGTGAAGCATTTCAGTATAACTGTTGTATGGAGTGTGTTTGTGCGTCTGATTGTATAGTGAGATTAACATATTGGAAATAAAGGTTGTAGGCTATTTTCTAGTAAGGGAATTCAAATGATAGTAACAGCTTTTAAAGCAGTGTAAATAGTTTATCATTGTGTTGTAAGAGCCTTTGGATATATTAATACAACATATTTGTCAAACCAAATGGAAAGTCAAATATTTGCGACCCACTTTACTGTTTTGTTAACATCAAAATGCTCTTACCTCCTCCATAGGTTTGACACAAATACGGAAATCTCCACACACTACCGAGTCCCACAGTAAAACCTATGCAGGTTAGCAAGTATTGAACTTGATTGTCCCATTGTGGTCTTTCAGCGATGTCTTTAGGTTCATCATCCTGCATCTGCTCAGCACTTCCAGGTGTATCCATCACTTGTTTTCGTTGGTATTTCAGAATATTGTAAGAGGCAAATCTTCTTTTATCTGACTTGTCCACTCTGTCTGAGGATAAGGGGAGGACCTGGGGACGTGTTACCTGTTTGTATCAGGAGGCGAAGGGGCGACATGTTCTTTATCAGCCTCATATTTTGTGTTGGCTTTTAATCCTGTGGGAACAATCTGGTTTGTTTGTTTAATAAAAAGCCCTTGTGTAAAGCGGCGTGATCTGATGTTGATTACAAAGCTGTAATATTGAAATTTATACAACGCAGCATAAATAAGGAACCCCGAGAGAAAACTGTGCAAATAAATTCCTTTTAATTCATAACGTGATACAGTCTACATTGCATTTATTATTTTACAGTTGTACAAGGTTTCCATTACTTCAGTCAATGGTTATTATCCCTTACAAAAGGTACTGTACAAGTATCTATTGTGGATGCAGTTCCTTATCAAACTTAATTTGAATTATGTTATCTTTCATATTCATACAGACTACAATCAGTCACATCCATTATAATTCAATTGAATATTAAAGTAAACTCATAAAGCATGTATTTACACATGGTAAATGCATTTAAATAACAATAAGCAGCTGAATAAGCAGATGATTACTATTTACTTCTCAAACACATCACAATAGTGACCCCAGCTGGACAGATTAATGTACTTTCATTGCATGGCTCGAAGTCAGTTTCCTTTTGGGATAGTACTTCCTCCCATTCTTAAAATCAAATAGTGAATCACATGGTAAACTGTAGCTGTCTAATCAAAGTTAACCCCACAAAAGTATGAACTCACAGCGTTACCCTGGGATAGTAATCTATTATGGGCTTAAATTTACTTCATTAGATTTTCTCTTGGTCAATTTCTTACAAAATACAAATTGGATTAACCCTTGTGTTGTGTTCGAAAGCTGTTACCGTTCATGGTGTTCGCGGGTCAATTTTGACCCATAATTTATTTCAGTCCAAAACACAACAAAAAAATGCCTATCATCCAATATTGTTTTAACTACATCATAACTAACTTATTATGCATTCATAACCGTACAATCCTGTTGTAATTTTATTCTATGGCCCCAAAACACATGACACCACATATTGCACACGTGCATGTGTGTGTTCAGGTTCAACACACAGGAGACCCGAACAGAACATAAGGGTTAAGAAATATATATAATGTTATAACCTCACACAAAGTTATAGGAAGCAGGGCCCACCTGGTCACATGTAAGATCAGAAATACAGTATCTCTATGAGATAGAGCTTCAGGCAAAGTTAATGATGTGGAAGACACTGCAAGGGTCCCATCATTTTCCCTCAAATATTCTCCCTAATGGTGCTTTCCATCTTTCTGAAAGCGAACATGATGAAGGCCACAATGCATCACAAACGAATGGACTGCGCGATATGATGCTCCCCATTATAATAGCTATAAAAAAATGTTGCTTTTACGAAGATAGTAGTACTTCACTCACTGTTAATGTATGAGATCAATGTTTATGGTGTTTTTAGAATGACAATCTCTTAATGTAAAAGGTGTTCTGAAAGTAAGGCCATGCAAAAAGTCAGATCAAATAAACTTGAATAAACCAATAAGCCTCTGTGGCGACAAATTGTTATGTAACTGTTTCTTTTTAATTTTACAGCGTTTCATATAGTCATCTGATTCACAGCGAAGAAATTAGAGCTTTACTTGATGTTACAGGTAGCTGAAGAAACAGGGAGTTCTGTTCAGAAAAGCTTTGTCTCTTATTTTTGAATTGCATCGATTAAACCGTTATAGCAGTCGATTCATTATTTTGGGAAAGAGAAAATAGTGGACTTTACCAGAATATTAGGCTGGGATTTTTTTTGATTTCATCGTTTATTTGAATTTGGTCAGCGATATTATCAATATGTAACTTATCCCTCTTCTTTGTCATTACACATTTCCAGACAGCAACTAAAGGCACAGCAAGAGCTGGTATCCCTGCCAATATAAAGATGATCACGTAGATCCAGGATGGATAGAGCTTTTCCTCCAGTGTAGGGAAATTATCCTGCAGAGAAAGTGTTATATTTTGAGTTTTCAATGACAAATGAATAAAAGATCAATATGAATAATTCTTACAAGATCATCCAAAAATAAATTCATATTTACCGATTCTGGATCCCAAGCCTTGTAAAGGATCTTTTCAGAAACTTTAGTGATGAAGTAGAAGACCAAGATGACGAGCATAATTAGCGGGCTGATGACTCTCCATGATGCCTGCCAGAAGAAGTTGGGTTTGTGACCAATCATGAACTCAATATCATCATTGAACCTAGGAGGAAAGTGACACACATACTGCATCGTTAATAGTATGTTAACAAAATAACAGAACAGCAGTAATAATAAGGGATGCTTGTGATACTATGATATCATGTTCTTCATATCTGAATCAGCAAAATCAATGTTTATTATTAAAGCCTATACAGTATAGTGTGTATTGTGTGCTAGGTCACAACTTTGTTGTCCACAATCAAGCCCTCCACAAACTAAGTGTATTAACCACACCACATTAAATCCAACACCAGAAATGAAGAATAGCATCATCAGACAAATTATTTTCAAAGATATAAACAAAAAAAAAGTACTATATTACTATTTTAATATCACCTGTCTATTCCATATATGTACACGACTGAGAACATCTCGCAGAATGCAACCACCAGCAGAGGGATGGATCCTCCATAGGTGTCAAAAAGTGAAAGCCAATAATTCCCTGAGCCTTGGAGAAATATCAGACCCACCAGACAACAGAACATGCAGGTGACACCTAAAGGAGAGCAAAGAGTTGATTAAATACATACTAGAAATTCGTATTAGTATAAAATGAGAGAATAGATGTGAGAGTTACCGGTGATAGCCTCTTTTGGCCATGACTTAGGGAAAACCTTGAGGTCTTGCAGTGGCACCACAACTCCCTCAATGTTACCAAACATAGAAGACAGGCCGAGGCAAAAGAGCATGATGAAGAAAAGGACGGACCACAATGGGGAAAGGGGCATCTTGGTGATAGCCTCAGTGAACACAATGAAGGCTAAACCGGTTCCTTCAACTCCCTAGGTCCAAACACAGCACAGTGTTAAAGCAAAGCATGGCAGGAATCATTCAAATGAACAGCAGTTTACTTTCCCCTAACAAGAAAGGAGCTGTCCTGGTGCATAAATAGACTTACCTCACTGAGAAAAGTTCTCAAGTTGCAGGTTGGAAGATCGAGCTGTTGAATAATCTCAGGGCTTGTTTCATTTAGGCGTTGAACAACCTGATCGTAGTTGCTGTCAGTGATGTAGCCCTCGGGAAGCTCAAACATATTCAGTAATGCTAGGATGTTTCTGAAACACAAAAATGTTTTCAAAGTCAATGTATTGCTGAATAACAGCCAATATGACATGCTTAAATGTGTCATTTGATAAAAGGATGAATAATGTACCCTGAAAGGCAATTGTCAAATCTTTCTGTTGCTCTGAAGCCGATAATGGTGTAGATGACAGTTGCAGCATAGACGGAGGTGAAACCATTGATTATAGAGATGATCACTGCATCCTGTTCACAGTTGTTACTAGAGGAAAAATACTATTGTATTTACTTTAAATGAGGTGAGTGAAAACAGTTGGGATTAAAATAACTTACTGCACTGAATTGTAGCTTGAGAAGGAAATAAGACCACCAAAAGCCAGAGAGAAGGAATAGAAAACTTGAGCCCCCGCATCGAGCCATGTTGATGGCTTTGCCAGCTCTGCTAACTGGAAGAATATGTAAAGTACACAATTATGAATCAACTGGTTATTGCTGTACATTGGCTATATGATGCCTGTAATGAGGCTGAAATGACTGAAGTCTGTTCAGTGGACTAAAATAGCAGGTCACTATATACTGTAGAATATCCAATTAAAGGTAAATATCCAAACAGATCTTTAATTTTACATAACATAATATAATTAGACCTAGCTTAACATATCTCGGAGTTAAATGTTATCCCTGTTTCCAAATAGTATTCAAACATATTTTAATAGTTAGGCATTCAGTGTATTTGTCGTCTGCAGTAAAGCCAGTGTTATAGCTCAAATGAACTTGGTAACTTACATCTGGTGTGAAGAGAAACTTAACTCCATTCAAAGAGCCCTTCAGGGTCAACCCTCTGATCAGGAATATTGTCAGCACCACATAGGGAAGGGTGGAAGTCACATACACAGCCTGGGGAAAATAAAGTATTCACTACATCACTTTTTAGCTGGGATGAAATATTTTCTCTAATAGTAGTAAGCATTGTGCGGTACCTTCCCAGTGGTCTCAATACCACGAATAATGCAGATATAGAGCACAGACCACGCACAAATGTGACATAGCAGTATCCACCACTGCAGACCGCCATCGTCTTCAATATTTGGGGTTGTGTTCAGGGTCTCCCTGTACCAGAAATAATCCACAGGGGAGCTCCTCTCACACTCTGAGACAATGCCTGAAGGAATTCAACACAGTCAGTCAGTGAAAATCAAGAGTTTTTAATTACAGTACTAGTTGTAGCCTTACCTGTTAAATTGGCATTCATGGGACATTGACTCCAAGGCAAAGGGTCTTGAAATGAGTTAAAGAAGTACCACAGGATCCAGGCAATGATGGTGTTGTAGTAGAGACTGATCGTCAGGGATACACACATGGATGCAATACCTGCCAATGGAAGTTTTAAAAGGGTTTCTTTAAAGGCACTTTTCCACTAGTTGTAGAAATCATTATGCAAAACGTTTCTTACCAATGCCGGTCAAATAGGGATGAATTGCACCCCACACTCCTAAACCGCCTCTTCTTATACGTTGTCCTATGGCAAACTCGAGATGCAGGAGAGGTATTCCTTCAAGGACCAGCAGGATCAGAAATGGTATCATAAATGCACCTGGAAGAAAAACAACGGAAGTGTTGATTGTGTCAAGGTGACAATAATTTGTGTTAATCATTCAAGATGCACGTGAACATGTGCAGTGATAAAGTCCAACAGTGAATGCAGTTAAGTTAAAAATGCAATGTTCAGTCCATCTAAGGGAATGCAGTAAGATCTTTACAAGGATTTCCTGTCAGTGAGTTGGTATAACGAGTCTTATCTGAACAGATCGGTTACAAGCCGTCTTCTGCTGCTTCTACTCCTCTTTTATATGTATATATTATAATGATACAGTTATTTGTGGATCAGTGGCCTTGTTATAATGCTCATTAAATAATCACTTTGAAAAGGGTGTTATCCTTTATTACCCAGTAATTCAGAACTGTTACATGTAAGATATGTACTGAATGATTTTTTTATCTGTGGAAATGGACAGAGGCCAGAAGATGTTCTTCTACAGGGCGTAACAAGTGTATATCATTTTAAATGTAACTGTACTGCATTTCAATTGAGCTCAATCAAACATGCATCATTTGAACAGTCGTAAAAACTAACAAAACTAATTTACAAAAATGATATCAAAACAAATAAATACAAATATAAATACAAATTATAATCACATAAATATAATGGGAGCAAAATGATCAGTGATCAACTGCCAAATATTACAAAAAGCTGCATTTATCCTGCATGTCCAAGCACAAAAGAAAGTAGCTTTAACATTATTGTTGGCTGTAGCATGTCTTTTGGGTATTTAGTAATACATTCAACCTTTCTTCTATTTGATTAAGAAACAGGTCATCTACAATGTAATGTTGATGGCAGGCAGACACATACTTTGGAGTGCTTCTAATGTTAAACCACAAATACAACAATTTCTCTATACAATTTGTCAATGTAGATAAATGGAAGTATGCATAACAATACTCTACTGTACCAGTAGATCTGGATTGCACATATTGAGGTTAATTATTTTTGTTCTATTCAAACAGTGTATTCAAAAGTAATCAAATATCTAATAGGTAAACCATAAATGCATCACTTGCCTCCTCCATGACTCTGACACAGGTAGGGGAAGCGCCAGACATTTCCGAGTCCCACACAGAACCCAACACAGGTCAGCATGTACTGAGTCTTGTTGTCCCATTTGGGTCTGTCCCCAGCCTCTTTCTCCTCCAGTGAGTCCAGCTGCTCATAGGACAATATCCTGTCCTCCAGGCCAGGATTGGGAAGTTTGAACTTCATGATCTGTCAAACACTGCAGTGGTGATACAATAGTGCACTGTGCAATGTTGGAATTTAAATTGAGTGAGATCCTACTATTTATACTGGACCTCTGTAATAGATTGACTAGGCTGTGGTGTCATAGAGCATCACCTAAAGGTCTACAGCCTTTGAGGCGTAAGCTGAGTAGAACACACCTGACAGTTAACTAGTGTCTTATCTAGTGAGGAAGGGCCAATTTTATAGGATGTATTGTATAATGTAAAGTTGAAGAATGATTGAACACATTACAGTAACATAGCTGTAGTGATATATTTATAAGCACACATAAAGAAATCCTATGCCTTCACTAAATCATGTATCAACATATTCATAAATTGTAAACAATTGTACTTAACATTGTTTATAAAAAAAACTATAAGTTGTTTAAATAGCTTCTTACAGTTGTGGAATAATTATTCATGTATTGTACTTGCTCCAAAAAATAAATACAACACTGTAGAATTTTGTTGTTGTTGTAATTGTTAAATAACAACAAATAAAATAAAAGCCACTCATTGTGCAACATGGCTAATTTAGGACAACTACAGTAGCCTATTATATACAGTATTTTGTTGGAATTATCATTGTTCATGCATTCATATCTTCAGTGCTTTATTGTTTCAGCTGCTTACGTTGAGACCATTGCTATTCTTTTTTAACTGGACTTTACATGTATAATAATGCATAATAATTCATTAGTTGGTTATATAGTATTTTGAGTATTTGAAGTTTAGTGATCAAACACAAGTTTTGAAAGTACAATACCTACCCTCCTTTTATTTATGTCAAATTATGGAGGGAGTCTGTCTGCCAGCCTGTCATGTTGTTTTGTCATGTTTCGTTTATTTGCAATAGTTCTGTACAATTGCTATAGACCGTAGCATTTATCTAGCTAGGCTACAAGACGTTTGTCAATACGGTCTATGGCTTTAAATAATTGCACTGCTAGGCCCTGCATGGTTGAGTCGCTGCCAGTTTCGGTGCTGCGTTTGTTTTTGTGTGCTTCTCATGTTCGCCACTGGAGGCCGCCATTGCGCCTGTAATATGAGCTGAGTCGGCCGGCTGAGGTCTGGCTGCTGTGTCCCCTGGCAGCAGAGTTTATGCTTGAGGAGGGAGCCGCTTCCCATCGCGCTCACAGTCCAAGAGTGGCAGTCCGTCCGCAGTCTGCCTCAGCACCTCCAACGCCCGCTATGCCCTTGGATACTGCCACCCTGCTCACTTCCACACCGATTAACCGTGAATCTTAACGGGATACCCTGGATCTTTACTACTGGAGTGTTGCGTTCACTGTCCTGAGTCCTCTGCGCTGCGAATGGAGAAGGTCCAAGGATAACAGAGGGGTGCAGGACTGTGCTACTGCAGAAGACCTGCCGGTAGTTCGCTGCCCGGGGGGCTGCCATTTCTGTCAGGGGCTGTGGTGTCGCATCCACTGTTTTAATTATCTAAAATCGCCTTGCATGGATGCAGCATGGCTACGTTTATATGCAGGGTGCAGTTCTTAGATGATACTGATCCATTTAACAGCACCAATTTCCCCGAGCCCACCAGGCCACCACTTTTCACTTTCAGGGAAGATATTCCTCTGATAAATCAGATTGCTGGAATCCACAGACTGCTAAAAGCCCCACACAAGGTATGCACTACTTATTTCTTTCTGGGTGATGTTTTTGTTCATGTCTCTTTAAACGAGCTTAGTGATCAGTTTTCACCTGCAAAATGCTAAATTAATAATTAGCTTGAACATGGTTGATGGGGTTACCAAACAAACATAATAAACCATCATAGAGCCTGCGACTTTAAGCAGCTTGCTGTTATGGGATGCTGATTAAGCATCAACATGCATTCAGTTACTGCATGCACAGTGTCAGTAAGATTCACCTATAGTTTGACATTATGGTGTATTTGGTGACTTTAGATGATGATGGAACTATGTATACACCCACTGTTTGGCTGAAGAGCAGTAATCTGTTAATGTTTACCTCAACCACAACACTAATCCCCTCAGTTTGACCTGTTTCCCTCTAGCTAGAGTAGCAGATATATTTTAAAGTGGTGTTCCAGTTAATGTGTGAAAGTAAAAATAAACAAACAAAGGAGGAAATTGATAAGGCAATTGTTTGTTTTTACTCAATCTAAAATCGATGATTGTTTGTTTACTTTTATTTTCAATCAACTTGGCATAGTGTTCTTCTTGGCTAACTAGGATCTGCAATTTCTTTCTGAAAGTATTTAATGGAAAATAAGCCAACTTTGCATTTGTGTAACCATTAATGGATAGGCTTGATTTAGGAAACCACTTCTGCTATTGTCACTACACCGTGTAAATTAGAGTGAGGGGGTTCAAATACCCAGTTGGTCTGTTGTTGAGAGGGATGGAAGAGGGTAATTCCCTAACCAAATTGTCATAGATCTGGGGATTTATTTTTGCAATCACTTGATCCAACACAACTTTGAAACCATGTGCAGTGAAAGACAATAGTTCTGATGGTTAACATTTTACCATGAGCATATTCTGTTATTTCCTTAGTAAAAAGCCAAATTCCTTTTGTAGTACCTCTACATTGTTGTGGTTGGTCAGCGACATAACGTCTGTCTGAATTTAGTCCTAACTGTTGAGAGGTGAAACCGTACACATTGTTTTGGTTGCAAAAGTTGGCCTTCCTAAAATCCACAACTGCACAGCCAGTTTTAAGCAGCCCAAAATAACTGGCCATTCCACTTTGGTATAGTGTAAATTGCCTTGTTTACGTTTCCTAAAGACAGCCAGTGACAAATAATGTTAACCTGAAGCCTAGATTATTTTAATTTTCTCTTGAGAAATGCCTGATTCTTGCCTTCTGATTAGACTGCATCCAAACATATTTTCTTAAAGCCTCATCTTCTGATCTTCATATTTAAACAAAGCAAAGTGCCCATAGCATCAAAGGTTGAATCTTTCAATGGGTATTTATCTTAGTCTTGCCGGGAAGTCACATGAATAGAAATGAAATTAGAGTCTTTCCTTATTCTGTCAGATCAATGGTACTCCATGTTGTTTGAGAAAAGCTGGTAAGATAAGTAAGGGGAGCCTCAGGATGCTGTGGATCACCACAAGCCTGGCTCTCATTCTGCAGCCCACTCAGTCTGACCAGCTGGATGGGACGGGAACGCTTTCCACTGCTTGAGAGAGCGGGAAGCAGGCAGAATTAAAAACACAAACAAAGAGCTGATGTACTTTGCACAGTCGACTGGTCTCATTTTAGCACTAGGCCAGCTGGACCGCAAACTAGACCGATAGGGAGTACCAGTGGTAGGCCCAGCAGCGCCTGGTTAGTAAGATTTGGTCACACGGGCATTTGTGGTAAGCAGTAACTCAAAAGAGCAGCCCCTTGAGGTTTTCATAAAACAATAACACTCAGGTGGAGGACACTGTGTTGAGCGTTGAGGTTTGATTAAAGCGTTGAGCGTTGAGGTTTGATTAAAACCCTCAAAAAATTTGAAAAAATGACTTTGTCGTGACCCTTTAAAGACTTCAACAGCAAGTCTGTTGTCTTTGAGCGCCGTCTCTATGGTGCAGGTCAGTCTGGTATAAATAGCACGCTGCTAACACATGGTGCCTAGGGAGTCAAAACAGCTCGCATATGCTGTCTCTGGGCTGTTCCTGTCAGTTTAATTCTGCAGTCTCAAGAGTGGTGATCTGTTCATGTGTGTGTGGTTGTTGTTTATATTGTGTGTGTACGTGTGTTGGATTGGTTTGTGGCTTGTACATGGGATGGCACCGTGGCCATGCAGCTGTTCGAGTTACTGTTTGTGGAGTTATAACATCAAAAGCCATCATGAGCAATGATTATATTTTATAGCAAGGGTTCAAACCTTAAATACTTGTTGTTTAGCAACAAGCGTTTGTCAGGACAGTAGACACACTTTTAAGTCAGTTTTCAGTCTGTTGTCTTTTGGAAAATGCCATATCATCATATTTGAATGCAGTATGTAATGTATTCATGTGTTAATGCAGTTCCACCGCTGAATAATCTGAGGGTTTTAATGGAAAATCAAACTCTCAAAGACACCAACATTAATCAATACCATGTGTTGCTTTAGCATATCGCCTATAAACAAGTTTTACATAGCTACTGTGGATGGAAAACATGACGAGTCATCTCCTGACTCGGCCTGTCTTTTCTGTGATGAATAATGCAATTTCCTTGTAAAATGACATTTGAGCATACTATTCAGAATTTGTGGGAGCTATTCCAAATGTCCTGGTTATGTCCTCATAAATCAATAGATCCATAGTCCTTCAAATGCTTGTTTTTATCAATGTTTTGTAGTTTGTGGCTTGGTGGCCTTGAGGCCTGGCATCCGATTGCAGAGCAATATTCAAGGCAGGGAAAATGTGGCTAAGTCTTGGAGAATGGACTCTCACTTTACCAATTTCAATTTTTGGGTCACATTTTTTTCCTTAAGAAATTACAGACTCCCATAATGAGAAGTTATGTTAAATGCTGTAAAATACAGGTTCCTCCTCCATGCCTGTCAGAGCTCCTTTGAATTATTTTACACATTGTTATGCAGAGTTGAGGTTTCGATGGTCACTGCAGTTTGGAGGGTTGTCTCAGCAAAAGGGCTCCTTTCAGAAGAATGCAACATCCGTGGAAAGTCTCATCCTCTGCATGCTTGACAGAAATGTAAGATTTCTGTTGTGGTTTCTCTTTCATGTATCAAATGGGTTTTAATGTGTTTTAAATCATGTGTTTTAAAAACACAAATACCATCCTCACCTTTATTAAACAAATGTTTGGCTTTTGAAGTGGCTTACTCTAATTCCTCTTGATTGATTTAGAGCACAGTGCAGTCTACAGACAAAATGTCTAAGTCTAACACAGGGTTTGCATTTGTTAAACTATGCAAAAGAGTTTAAGAGTGTATGCTATCTCATTCCAAGGAAGTTTGGAATGAGATAGCATTTTTGAATTGGAAATTGCATGGTGTTTATTTTTAGCCCTTTCTGCTTTAACTGCCTCCCTGGTCAGTGG